CAGCACCTGCTGTGAACTTTCATTAGCTGCATTATAAAAGGATCAATTTCAGGCAATGTTCATTTTTACTCCAAAGGGCAGTGGTTTTCAACAGACCCCATCCTTTAGTAGGTGATGCACGCCTCAAGATGAACAGAGGAGGCTGCAGCAGTGGATACAGGGGGCTGGGATGGCATGTGGGGGCTTGTTGGGACCGTGTCCCTGTGTAGCATGCCTCTGCTGGTCCCCACATTGGCCGCCATCCCTATCACATGGAAGGACAGCCCCCGCCCCCACCACATGGAGGAGTGAAAACACCCCAGATGCACAAAGCACCTTGGATTACTCCACCTCAACCTTGAGGCTTCTAGCACCAGGGCTCTTGACCTCTATTTCTGGCTGTTTTCTAGGCCCTGCTAGTCACCACCCATCACACACTTCCCAGCAAATCCAGACTTGCTAGCTGGGCATGGAAGCCTGCACAGCCAAGCACTGCCTCCTTCTCCAGCCATTGCTCCTGACAGCCCTGCCCGTGGCCTGCACATAGACACGGCTGCAATCCACTAGCACGCCCCCGCCTGGGTTTGCCTTCTCCCCATCCTGTGTCACACCCCTCCTGACTCCCCCGTGCTGCACCTCAACATCTCGTGTGGATGTAGCTCACTACCCCCCGCCCCCGACAGGGCCCCAGCTACTGAGACTGGTCTGTGCACCCTGAGGGGCCTAGGCCAGAGCCGGCACATCAGACATCGCCCAAGGGAGGACAAGCGCGGCATCCCAGGAGCCAGGCAGTATTGGGGAACATGAGACAGGGAACCCCTGCTCGGTCTTCAGTTTCAGTTCTTCCCTTGAGATGCTCTGACAGTGCTTGCCCACCTTTAGGAGTGGATGTAAATCCAAAGGCAGATTAAGCAGGTTTGGGCAGTGGGCATGCCTTTGTAAAGCAAACAAAAGCCAACCATCACTGCCTGCAGAAACCTACAGCCCATCCAGGGCAGCCAGAGAAGCAGGTGCTGGAAAAAGGACACAGCCCTCAGGATACCGGTGGGTCCAGGCTGATCTCTGCCCAGAACACCACAGGTCGTGGTGTGCGTCAGGGGAAGCCGGGACCCCTTTGTGGACAACATCCCCCACCATGGTGGAGGAACAGGCGCCCTTACATGTACTGCTTCTGCTCCTCACGGTACTGCTTCTTGTTCTCCATGTTCTGCTCCAGAAGCATCTTGTTCTGCTGGCTCAACAGCTGGATCTGGCTCAGGAGGTGATGGTTTTCTTCCTCCAAATTCCCCTTGAGGTGGGAGAGCAGCTAAAACACAGGTCAACGAGGGCTCAGACCCCAGGAATCCCTGCTGGGAACCTAGTTTCCAAGAGAAGGGCCAGGCTTTGGACACAGACATTCATCTCAGGATTATCTATGGAAGTAAAAGCTTGGAGGGACCATCAGGCCAATGACATGGAAGGACCAAGTTCCCTTTACGACTGCGCGTCAGTCCAGCAGCCCCTGGCCACGTGAGAGGGCCCTTTAATGGGACTACTGGGAAAATCAGAGTTATGACAGCGCTGGCATCCAATTTCTGTTGGACAGATCTCCTCTAGAAGGGGTGGGCACAACATTTGGAAAGACCAAGAGAGTGAACATTTCAGGATCCCAGGCCAGACCATCTCTGCTGTAACTACTCATGCCTACAGGTGCATCAGGAAAGCAGCCACAGGTGATACGCAAATGCACAGGTGATAGACAAACACCCAGGTATGGCTGCATTTCTATAAGCCTTTACTTACCAAAGGGTAAATTTCATATCATTTTCACTTGTCACAAATTCTTTTGATTTCCCCCAACCATTAAAAAGTGTAAAAGCAAGCCTCCCTGGTGGCGCAGCAGGTTGAGCGCAGCCCTGTGAAGCGGTCCACAGCCTCCGCAGCACCAGTTCGATTCCTGGCCGGCCAGGGAGATACCCACATGGTGCCACAGACCTCTCCTGCCTCACCCGCTGCTCCTCTCAGCAGTGCATTTCATCAGTCTGCCTGTTCTGTTCCCCGCTCTGTCTCTGGTGAATCCTCTCACCCTCCTGCACATCTGGTCTGTACCCCAGTTCTTGTATAAATAAATAAATCTTTTAAAAAAAAGTGCAAAAGCCATTCTTATAAAGTTCACAGCTGTGTAGAAACAGGGAGTGGGCAGATCTGATATGAGGGGCTGAGGTTGCCAGCGCCTGCTCTCGCTGTCATGGTTGGTGCACCAGAAAAATCACCAACTCCGGCTTCACACAATCTGGGTTCCAACCCACACTGCAGGCTTCAGCCTGTAGTCTCCTGCTGTGCAGGGCAGGCTGAGGGGTACCAGGCTTCCACTCTGCCTGGGTCTCAGTCCCACTCCACACCCCAGAGGGGTCTTCAAGCAATTCAGCAGCATCCTGAGCCTCAGTTTCCTCAACCGTGATGCCCTACAGGGCTGTTAACTGGCACACAAAGGCAAAGAGGATGTGTCCCGGGGTGCTCGCTTTCCTGGGTCTAGAGGCTGGGGTGCTGGGGTGGGGCTTGGCTGTGCTCCTCTGCCCACTGTACTTGTTCTGGGATCTGCTTACAATTTCATCCGAGGTTTAGCCACTTAAGATCAAACAGTAGCCTGGGCCTGGGCCCCTCAGTCCATGTAGGACAGACAAACAGTCACTGAACACCAATTCCTCTCAGAAAAGGAGGCTGTAATAGCATGAAGATAGAGAAAACTGGAGAAATCTTATCTATGCTGTGAAAAAACAAATGTTGAGTGTCATATGATGGGGTTTTTGGAGTTGTGGGGTCCTTGGGTTCACTCTGGGAAAGGTTTCACCAGAGCTCCCGTTTCAGTGGCACACAGTAAGTTCCAGGCAAGTTTCTCCACAAGACAGAGACCATAGTTACATTTAAATAACAGGTTTATTAGGGAAAGAGACAGGTTTGCTGAGAGAGGCCTGCACAGTTGCAGGCAGGCAGCCTTGAGGAGAGCTACCTCCACTGAGGGAGGTCAGTGAAGAGAAGCCCCAGCATGGTACAGGTCACCGGCAGGCAGGAGAGAGCTGGTGAGAAGAGGCACCTGCATAGTCATAGGTGGGCAGTGGGAGTGCTGCCCGGAGCCTGTGCAGAGACCGCACTGATATAGTCCTTTTCTCTTCGGGAGGGGTCACTCCTCTATGGAGTGGCTGCTTGTGCCTGATGTTGGGTAACAGGCAAAACTAGAAAGGGACCAGAGATTCCAGGGAGGCCCAATCTCCATATCTTTCCCCTCAGTTCTGTGCTACACTCCCTAGAACATCTGATCCTGCTTAGTCTCCTGCCTTGTGATAAGGCGCTGGTGCCTGAAGGCCCAACCTCTACAGCTGGGTTAATGGTCACATGATTCCCCTCAACCCCCACCTCCTTGTGTGAGTCAGGTTTTGGTCTTGGGGCACCTCGTTTCCAGTCTTTGTATTCTTGTCCTCCATTAGGGGCACACACTAAACCTGTCATGGTTGTGAAAACAAGGAGCCTTGTCGGGAACAGTTGCCAAAGAGAAAAGTCGATCAGAGGGAAGCAGAGGCTCTCACCCAGGGGGAGCAGGCGTTGAAGGTTGAAATGTGCCAGGGGATTGGATTCCACATGGGAACCGAGATGATTTATTTTGGGGGGCGACGTGCTGGGTCCCTGGCATATTTTGGTTAAATGCAAAATGGAGGCCTGTGATGAGAACCCGCGGAGTGCTGCAGGGGAGGTTAACTCGGCGGCGAGGCGGGTTCCGAGAGTGACATGGGGCGCCCCTGAGCTGCTGAGAAAGTCTCCCGCGCGTTTGCAGCCACCGGAGGGTCAGTTAGTTTTCCAGCGTCTCTCCCGAAACACACAAGAAGCTGCGATCCTTTGCGGGGCGGCCCCGAGCAGATCCGGGGCGCGCACCGGGGTGGGGCTCAGGGCCAGAGCGGGGGTCTGCGGCGTCCAGGCAGCCGCTCGGGCTCGGGCGCCGGGGCCTCTGCGGCATCACCCGGGCCCTGGGCGCGGGAGGCGCGGGGCGGGCGAGCGCGCACACCTGGGCGCCGGGGCGCGGCTTATAAGGCGGCGTCTCCGCGGCCGGGCGGGCTCCGGCCTCAGCGAGAGCGGACGCGCCGCGGCCGCGGCCGGGACAGGAGGAGACCCCGCGGGAAGCCGGAGGGAGCCCCGAGAGAGTCCCGATCCCCCGGGCGCTGGGGGTGGGGGGGGGGCTTGCCAGCCCTTCAGCACACACACCCCCCACCTCAGCCCCGCATCCCCAGCCCCTCAGCCCCCGGCCCGCCCGCGCCGCGCCCGCCCAGAGAGCGCGGAGAGTCTGGGTTCGCCGGGGGTCGGGAGCCTCACCGGGCCCGGCCTCCTGCCCGCCCTGCCCCGGGCGCCCAGCTGCGCTGTCGGGGAGAACGCGAAAGGCCCACGCCAGCCCCCGGCAGCCCCGGGACCCTCTGCCCGTGTGCCCGGAGCCCTCCGGAGCCGGCCCGGGCGGCAGAGCCCGGCGCCGACCGGACCGCGGCCCCCGAGTCCTGGGGCGGGAGCGGGCGGGGGAAGCGGGGCGCGCTCCGCTCTGCGGCCCCCGACCCGGCGCCGCGGGGGGACAGTGCGCACGGCGGGGGCCGCCGACGGACTTGGGCCCCGCTCACAGCAGGGCTGGGGCGAGCGTCCCTCGAAGCTCTGCCGTGGGGGGAGGACGAGCCTGGAGGCGCGGCGGACCCCCAGGAGTTAGACGCGGCCGGGGAGCTGCCGCAGGAGACCTGGAGGGGAGGGGGGCGAGCTGCCGGCCGGGACCCGCCCAGGACCCCGAGCCGCAGACGCGGCGGCGCCAGAGCAGGCGCCCGACGCCCCACCCGCTCGCCCGGCGCTGACGGGGCCCCGCCACGGACCGCGGGGACCCCCGAGCACGCCAGAGGCTGGGGGCTGGGGCGGGGGACGCCTCCGAGGTGCCCTGGGAGGAGGAGCGAGGGGATCCTCTGTGGCCCGCCCCCGCCGGAGAGGAGAGTCGGGGTGGCCTTAAGCGGCCTGGGGGGAGGTTCTCCGCAGCAGGCGGCGGAGTGTCAAAAAGCCGCCCAGACGCGCCAAAAGCGGGCGCCCAGGTCCGGAGCCCCGAACGTGTGGGACGCAGCTGCGGATGCCCACGGAGCAGCGGAGCCTCCTCACGGCACCTGTGGGTGAGCCCCGTTGGCTGGAGAGTGAGGGTGAGGGCCCGAGGAACCTCAGGGGGCGGGTGGGGCCCTGGCCTGTGGGGCAGCCCACGGCGGGGAGGGGACTCGAGCGGCCCCGCGGGGAGCGCGCTCTCCCTAGACGGGCCGTACCCACTGGCAAAGGGCTGGCCTGAGCGCGGGGGCCGCCTGGCAGCGGTGGTGATGAGACCTGGTGCAGCAGGGACGGCAGTGAGTACCCCTGGGGCTGGGCGGGTCCCCCCAAGAAAGCTGAGTGTCTCAGAACTCAGAGTACCCACAGCTGGGCGGGGGGGGGGGGGGGAGTAGCTTGTGCTGAGACCAGAAGGCCCACGAGCCCAACTCCCCTGCTTAGGACAGCTGAGTACACTGAGACTAAGCAATTGTTCCCCCTGGAAGGAGCAGAGCTGTGGGGGGCAGTCTAGAGCAATCATGGGGGCAAGGGTTTGGGGGTGCAGTGGGGGTGGCAGGCAAAGGAGCTGCTCATTCAGCCTTCCGGGGTGCCCTGGCTGTAAGGAGCCAGGTTCTGCTGTATCTATTGTGATTATGCTCAGTTGCGCTGCTCACCTCTGTGGGTCATGACTGCAGGGTTCACTGGCCAACAGCCCTCAGCCTCCAAGCCCAGCTGGGAATGACCTCCACCTTTGTAACATTGTCCTCCAGGAGGAGATGGGCTTCCCTGCAGGTGGACCACCTGAGCCTCCAGGCCGGGCTAAGGATAGCCTGCAGGACCACCTCGTCAGCCTCCAGGCTGGGCTGGGGCTGGCCTGCAGTCAACCTACTCAGCCCCAAGGCTCAGCTGGGGCCTTCCTGCAGCTAGACATCCTGATCCCCCAGGTTGGGCTGGGTTGGCCTGCAGGTCGACGTCCTCAGCCCCTAGGCAGAGCTGGGGCTGGCCTGCAGTGGACTTCATCTGCCCCCAGGCTGGGCTGGGTCCTGCCTTTAGGTCAACCACCTTAATCCCAGGCTGGACTGGTGCCAACCTGCAAGTGGCCCTCCTCAGCCCCCAGTAGGTCTGGGGACGGCCTGCAGGTCGACCTCCTCAACCCACAGGCAGGGCTGGAGCTGACCTGCAGGTTGACCTCAGCACCCAGGCTGGGCTGGGGCCAGCCTGCAGGTCTACCTATTCAGCCCCAGGCTGGACTGGTGCTGGCCTGTAGGTCAACCTCCTCAACCCCAAGGCTGGGCAAGGGCCGGCCTGTAGGTCGACCTCCTCACTCCCAGGCTTGGCTGGTGCCAGCCTGTAGGTCGACCTCCTCAGCCCCAGGCTTGGCTGGTGCCAGCTTATAGGTCGACTTCCTCAGCCCCCAGGCAGAGCTGGTGCCGGCCTGCAGGTGGATCTCCTCATCCCCAAGGCAGGGAAGGGGCCGGCCTGCAGGTCGACCTCCTCAACCCAAAGGCTGGTCCAGGGCTGGCCTCCAGAACAACCTCCTCAGGCCCCAGTCTGGGCCGTAGCCGACCTGCTGGTCAACCTCCTCAGCTTCCAGGCTGGGCCGGGGCCCAGGCTCAAGGACGACCTCCTCAGCTACAAAGCTGGGCTCAAGCCGACTTCCTGAGCTCCCAGGCTGGACCGGGGAGGGGCTCCATGTAGACCTCCTCAGCCCCAGGATGGGCAGGGGCCGACCTGTAGGTAGACCTCCTTAGCCTCCAGGCTAGGCTGGGGCCGGCCTCCAGGTCGACCACCTCAGCCTCTGGGCTGCTTAGAGCCGGCCTGCAAGTTGACCTCCTCATGCCCCAGGTTGGGGTGGGGCCTGACTGCTGGTCGACATCCTCAGCCCCCAGGCAGGTTTGGGTCCGGTCTGCAGGTCAACCTCCTCAGACCCCATGCTAGACTGGTGCCGGCCTACAGGTTGACGTCCTCAGCCCCCAGGCAGGTTTGGGTCCGGTCTGCAGGTCAAACTCCTCAACCCCCAGGCTGGGCTGGAGCCGGCCTTCAGGTTGACCTCCTCAGCACCCAGGCTGGGCTGGGGCCAACCTGCAGGTCTACCTATTCAGCCCCAGGCTGGACTGGTGCCGGCCTGCATGTCGACCTCCTCAACCCAAAGGTTCGGCCGGGGTTGGTCTCCAGGACAACCTCCTCAGGCCCCAGTCTGGGCCGTGGCCGGCCTCCAGATCGACCTCCTCATCCCCCAGATGGGCCGGGGCCAGGCTCCAGGTCGACATCCTCAGCCCCAGGATGGGCCAGGGCCGGCCTGCAGGTGGACCTCCTCTGCCTCCAGGCTAGGCTGGGGCCAGCCTCCAGGTCAACCAACTCAGCCTCCTGGCTGCTTAGGGCAAGCCTGCAGGTAGACCTTGTCAGCCACCAGGCTGGGCTGGGGCCAGCCTGCGGTCCACCTCGTCAGCCTCCAGACTGGCTGGGACCCACCTGCAGGTCGACCTCCTCATCCCGCAGGCTGGGGTGGGGCCGGCCTGCAGGTCAAACTCCTTAGCCCCCGGGCTGGACTGGTGCCGGTCTGCAGGTGGACCTCCTCAGCCCCCAGGCAGGGCTGGGGCCATCCTGCAGGTAGACCTTGTCAGCCACCAGGCTGGGCTGGGGCCGGCCTGCAATGGACCTCATCAGCCCCCAGGCTGGCCTGGGGCCTGCCTGCGGTCAACCTCCTTAATCCCAGGCTGGACTGGTGCTGGCCTGCAGGTGGACCTCCTCAGCCCCCACTAGGTGTTTGGTCTTTGGCCAGCCTGCAGGTCGACCTTCTCAGCACTCAGGCTGGGGTGGGGCCAGCCTGCAGGTCGACCTCCTCAGTCCCAGACTTGGCTGGTGCCAGCCTGCAGGTGGACTACCTCAGCACCCAGGCAGGCCTGAGGCCGACCTGCAGGTAGATCTCCTCATCCCCCAGGCAGGGCAGGGGCCAGCCTGCAGGTCGAACTCCTCAGACCCCAGGCTGGTCTGGGGCTGGTCTGCAGGTTGACCTCCTCAACCCAAAGGCTGGGCCGGGGCTGGCCTCCAGGACAACCTCCACAGGCCCCAGTCTGGGCCGTGGCCGGCCTCCAAGTTGACCTCCTCAGCCTCCAGGCTGGGCCGGGCCAGGCTCCAGATCGACCTCCTCAGCCCTAGGATGGACCGGGGCCATCCTTCAGGTCGACCTCCTCAGCCTCCAGGCCAGGCTGCAGCCGGCCTCCAGGTCGACCAACTCAGCCTCCAGGCTGCTTAGGGCCGGCCTGCAGGTCAACCTCGTCAGCCACCAAGCTGGGCTGGGCCAGCCTGCAGGTCGACCTCCTCATGCCTCAGGCTTGGCTGGGGCTGGCTTGCAGGTCGACCTCCTCAGCCCCCAGGCAGGGTTGGGGCCCGGCCTGCAAGTCAACCTCCTCAGCCCCATGCTAGACTGGTGCTGGCCTGCAGGTTGACGTCCTCAGCCACCAGGCAGGGATGGCGCCCGCCTGCAAATCAACCTCCTCTTCCCTCAGGCTGGACAGGGCCAGCCTGCAGGTCTACCTCCTCAGCCCCCAGGCAGGGTTGGGGCCGGCCTGCAGGTCAACCTCCTCAGCCCCAGGCTGGATTGGTGCCGGCCTGCAGGTTGACCTCCTCAGTCCCAGGCTCTGCTGGTGCGGGGCTTCAGGTAGACCTCCTCAGCCCCCAGGCAGGGCAGGGGTCAGCCTGTAGGTCGACCTCTGCAGCCCCCAGGCAGGGCTGGTGCTTGCCTGCAGGTCCTCCTCATCAGCCCCAGGTTGTGCTCGTGCGGGCCTGCAGGCCTACCTACTCAGCCCCCAGGCTCATCTGGGGATGACCTGTAGGTAGACATCCTGATCCCCCAGGCTGGGCTGGGTCGGCCTGCAGGTCAACGTTCTCAGCCCCCAGGCAGGGCTGGGACCGGCCTGCAGTGGAACTCGTCAGCCCCCAGGCTTGGCTGAGGCTGGCCTGCAGGTCAACCTCCTAAATCCCAGGCTGGACTGGTGCCAGCCTGCAGATTGTCCTCCTCAGCCCCCAGTAGGTCCGGGGCCGAGCTGCAGGTCGACCACCTCAGCCCACAGGCAGGGTTGAGCAGGCCTGCAGGTCGACCTCCTCAGCACCCAGGCTGGGCTCGGGCTGGCCTGCAGGTCTACCTATTCAGCGCCAGGCTGGACTGGTGCCGGCCTGCAGGTTGACCTCCTCAACCCCCAGGCAGGGCTAGGGCCGGCCTGCAGGCCCACCTCCTCAGCCCCCAGGCTGGGCCAGAGCCAGGCTCCAGGTCGACGTCCTCAGCCCCAAATCTGGGCCAGGGCCGGCCTGCAGGTCGACTTCCTGAGCCCACAGGCTGGACCGGGGAGGTGCTGGACCCAGGATGTGCCTGGGCCTGCCTGCAGGTCAACCTCCTCAGCCTCCAGCTAGGCTGGAGCCGGCCTCCAGGTCGAACACCTCAGCCTCCAGGCTGCTTAGGGCTGGCCTGCAGGTTGACCTCGTCAGCCTCCAGATTGGCTGGGGCTGGCCTGCGGTCGACCTCCTCATCCCCCATGCTGTTGTGGGGCCTGCCTGCAGGTCGACCTCCTCAGCACCCAGTCCTGCAGGTCGACCTCCTCAGCCTCGAGGCTGGGCTTGGACCGGACTGCAGGTCGACGTCCTCAGCCCCCATGCAGGGCTGGGGCTGGCCTGCAGGTCCACCTCCTCAGCCCCCAGGCAGGGCTGGGACCATCCTACAGATGGACCTCTTCATCCCCCAGGCTGGGCTGGTGCCGGCCTGCAGGTCGACCTCATCCCTCAGGCTGGGCTGGGGCTGGCCTGCATTTCGACTTCCTCAGTCCCAGGCTGTCCTGGTGCGGGGCTTCAGGTCGACCTCCTCAGTCCCCAGGCTGGTCTGGGGCCGGCCTGCAGGTCTACTTCCTCAGTCCCAGGCTGTGCTGGTCCCGGCCTGCAGGTCAACCTCCTCAGCCCACATTCAGGGCTTGGGTCAGCCTGCAGATTGACCTCGTAAGCCTCCAGGCTGGTTTTGGCAGTCTGAATGGGAACATTTAGTTTCCAGAGTGTGTTCCCATCCTTCAAGTTCGAAGTTTTTTTTGTTTTTTTTTTTAAAGATTTATTTATTTATGCAAGCACTGGGTACCTTCAG